GCCCACATCCATGCTCCTCCTGGTTGATAGCTCGTACATTACAAAATATCATTGCTGTGGTGACGGCGGCAAGGTTTAATGCTGAACTCTACTCAGTCAACTAGACCATATTCCTCTGATTCACACCGTGCCGCTGGAATCGCTTGTTCGCTGCCGATCGCGGGGAGTAGTCGGGCGACTGAACCGAGCCCTAGCACGCATTATCGAGCTGAACCTTAATCCTCGATATCATACATGGTCACCATCGATGTAAACCGTGATAACCTAGGAGTTATGTCGATCAAGTGGCTTCCATCCGTGCACAGCCCGACCAAATGAATCCTAGACTTGTAATACATGGAAATCATGACAAAGGTATCTATTCCTATTCGCTATGCGGCTCCCGCCGACGAAAAACGTAGGTATATTCGGAAAGTCGGAGTCAGTTCTTGTATAAGTGCGGGGAAGGTTTAATTTCCCTAACTCCGAAGATGATCAGGCAGTCGTAGCCGATTTGTTTCCTCACTATCCCATGGTTTCTAAAGCGCCACTCACCCACATATCCACAATGTGGAGGGGGACATGGCTTCTAGCAGGCCTTTCGCGGTTGCCGTCTCGTATCTCGGTACCTGGTGATCAGATCGGAATGACGTCTGAGTGATCGTGCTGATGTGAATCTGATCGATCATTACAAACCGATCGACGATCAGTCGATGGAGATATGTGATATATAGTTACTGGCGGAGCTTTGCGGTTCTGTAGTGAAGTTGACTACCATTATTTCTGACTACTGTTGCCTCGGGCATATTATCTACCTTTTTCCAATCAGACAGATCACGAACGCCGAGGGAAATTTCTGAAATCCATTTCTGTACGGTATTGGCGCAGCCACCGACGCAAAATAAACAATGGCGGCTACCCAAGAGGATGCAAGGCAGGTGGAGTCGCTGGGGAAAGGAGATACTCTCAAGAAACCGTCTGCTATACGCAAGAAGGCGCCTCCGAAGCTTGCCAAGCTAGATAAGAAGGAAAAGTGGGATAAGCCTACCTTAGGTTTGTTGGCCAAACGTGGACTAGGTTTAGAAATGTGTATCTAACGTTCGATAGATGAGAAACCAGAGAAAAAATTGGAGACTGAAAACGTGGGAGATGTTGGTGCTGGTAAAATGCCTGAAGCGGGGCTAGAAGAACAGGTAGAGAAGGTTGAGGAAAAAGCAGGAGAGGCAGGAGAAGAAGCTGAAGAAGAACTGGAAAATGAGGACATGGAGAATGAGGAGGAGGAGGAGGTGGAGGAAGAGCTGGAGCAGCAACGTGGGCCTGTCGAACAGAGAGAAGCCATGCCATCAGACACTGCGGCAGGTTCTTCGTCCACCGCGGGGCTAGCGGACAAGGGCAAGGGAGCAGCCGTGCAACTGGGCCGGATCGGGGAAGGCACTGAATCCATGAAGGATCAGGTCCCCGCTGAAATGCCGGATCAAGTGCAAGAGAAGGCTGGAGAAGGCGTACAAGAGCCTACCGAAGGAGTGGTTGAGCCTGAGAAAGAAACTGATCTCGGAGATGGCATACCAGAACCACCAGATGTATCGGAAGTGAAGGAAGCTGCAGTGAGCATTGGAGACCTGAAAGGCCTTTCTGTTGGTGAAGGCGGAAACATTGTCAATGCAGAGGGGAAAACAATCGGAAAGGTTGTTGAGGGGGATCCTGATGACCTTGTTGGTCAGGTTGTTGATGCCGATGGAGAGATCCTGGACGAGGACGGGGACTTGATCGGTCGGGTTGATGTCGTGACTGAGAAAGTCGATGAACTGCCACAGGCCGATGAACTTCCCAAAGCCGAAGAACTTCCCGAGGCCGAAGAAGTGGCAGAACTGCCGCAATTACCGGATATATCGACTCTCGAAGGCCTAAAATGTACGAAGTTCGGCAGTATCTTGGATACTCAGGGTAACCTAGTTGGGGAGTTGGTTGAAGGCGATGCAAAAAGGATCTTTCGAGGAGGCTTTGAGCTTGACGATAAGGGCCAGTTCTGGGACCACCGCGGTAATGTCATTGGCAAGGTACAGCCTGTTCTACCAGAGGCGGAAGAAACCAGCATCTTCGAAGGAATGAAAGATTTGTATGTTGACAAGGAGGGATGGGTGCTAGATGACAACGGTCAACGCGTTGGACAGGTAGTTGAAGGGGATGTTAAAAAGCTCGCAGGCCGCGCGGTTGACGAGGACGGCGACATTCTCGATCGGCATGGGAACCTGCTCGGTCACGCAGAACCCTGGCAGGAGCCAGAAGAAGTTGCGGACGAGGTAACGGAGGAGAAGCCGGATCTTAGTTGTCTGGCAGGGCTTAAGCCCACCAAGCTTGGCCTCGTGATTGGGCCGGACCAAGTGCCTCTGGGCAGAGTCGTTGAGGGCGATCCCAAACAACTTGCCGGCCGAACCATTGCGCCGGATGGTCTCATTTGGGGCGACAACGGGGAGGTCATTGGGCAGGTGGACCTGATCCCCGAGAATGAGCGAAAAGATCTCAGCCGGCCATTCCAGGGATGCACGGACCTGATGGTGAATGGATCTGGTTGGGTGGAGGATGGCGACGGGAACATCCTGGGTCGTGTGATCGAAGGGGATCCCCAGAAGCTCCAGGGATATGATGTCGATGAGGATGGAGAAATTGTGGACCAGCATGGGACTGTCTTGGGGCGAGCTGCACCATGTGAACCCCCTGCCGAGGAGGTGGAGGTACCCGATCTGTCTGCATTAGCTGGCAAAGTGGTAAACAAGATGGGCAATGTCGTGGATACGAACGGAGTGGTATTTGGACGGTTGGTGACAGGTAACCCTCGAAAGTTGGCGGGCAAATCCGTGGATGAGCAGGGTCAGGTCTGGGATGCTGCGGGCCACGTTGTCGGCCAAGCCGAACTCATTCCCGATGCCGAGCGAGAGCGGCCAGAGGGACCATTCAGCGGCCTAGATGGCTTGACGGTGAATAAAGAGGGACAGGTTGTCGACCCGAACGGCACACCGGTTGGTCGTCTAGTCGAGGGGGACCCTAAACGCCTTGCTGGGCGCGCCGTGGACGATGATGGAGAGGTCCTTGACTCGGCTGGGAATTGCATTGGCCGGGCTGAGCCGTGGTCTGCTCCAGAAGAACCGCCCAGTCCCATGGCTGGCCGTAAGGTTAACCGGGAAGGAGAGGTCCGCGATGAAGATGGCAATCTCATTGGCAAGCTCACTCAGGGAGAACTGTCGAACCTCATCGGCCGAACGATTGACAAGGATGGCTATGTTGTGGACAGTGCCGGCAATAGGATCGGGGAATGTACCTTGCTGGAGAATATACCCCCAGAGCCAGAGCCCGAGGAACCGGAAATGTCCCCCGAAGAGCGCGAGCAGCTGGCTCGACAGGAAGAGGAGAATGAGCTGGCCAAAAAGATGTGCTCAATTGTTCAGCAAGCTCTGGACTCCTTGGAACCGATGTGTCGAATGATCACTCAGGTATTCACCCATCCATTTGAAGAGCATACTTCTAATAGGAACACTTTGCTGACGCTGATTCGAACAGCATATCGAAAAGGCCAATAGTACACCCAAGGATGAATTGGATGAGGAAGCATTGGTCAAGGAGGTAAAACCGTTGATTGAAGAGGCTGGCACCATTCTGCAGGAGTGCAAAGGAGCCCTGCGAGCGTTGGATCCGGATGGCCACATTGCTGCCAACGCCAAAGCCCGCAGTGCCTCCCAAGAAGCCACTCCACAGGAGCATCATCTGGCGGAATTACTGAAGGACTTGACACAGCTAGTGACGGAGACGATCGAACGGGGTAAGAGTATGATTGCCGACATGCCCCATGCGAAGAAAGAGATCAACCCGCTCTGGGCGCTGTTGTCCGAGCCGTTGTTCCAGATCATCGCGGCCGTCGGTCTCTTGCTCAGTGGTGTTCTGGGTCTTGTGAGTAATCTTCTGAATGGTCTGGGTCTGGGAGGCCTTCTTCAAGGGTTGCTCGGTGGCTTGGGCGTGGACAAGCTCCTGGAGGGTCTGGGACTGGGGACCATCACGCAGGGGATCGGGCTGGGTGGAAAGAAGTAGTGCAGTATATCTGTATATATTTGACATCTTAATTTGGCTTTAATCTGGGTGATTTTGGGTCTTGTCAGTGATTTGGTTTCATTGCTTTGGGAACAGCAGAAAATGAGGTGGAAGTGGAGGGCAAAAGGATGCGGGAAGTCTGTTTTAGGGATGCCGAGCGGCCGTACGAAGTGATTTCCGACGGTTGGCCCTGATATACGCAAGGGCCTCGTCAAGACGTGTAATATCATCCAGTCTTTGATGTGCTATTAACCGCCAGCACAAGATATGTATGTCACATGAAATGCACTTATCTCTCCTGACTGATAGAGCAGCGCACCAACTAGTAGCAGCAATGACATCAACTTACATGGCAGCCTTGTGGGAGTGGCTCAGCACTGCCCCTTCAGCTCAACAGCAAGACACTCGCTAGATGCACTAGGCAGTGAATGCAAGTCGAGCTTCCCCAACAGCCACCCAGAACCATTCCATGTGTGATTCCAGTTCCTTTTCTGTTGGCTTCACTGACTGACGTGGGCCAATGATGTTGCTCAGTCTGGCACAACCCAGAGTGAACCGCCGCAGCGACGCGCCCACAAGGCGCTTTCCCTCTCTTAGGTTCCCTATCTTTCCCCTCTCATTGTATCTTTTGCTACACAAGGCTGAGGCAGCTAGTGGTGCCAGCTGAGGAGCTCTTTCACCTTGACCCTTCAGAATTATGAGTTATTAGTACCCGTTTTCTACTTTCCTTTTGGTTTTGTTCAGTTTGTGTTACTCTTTTGTATCGTTGAACCTCGACATCTCCCTCGCCATCGTGGTACTTTCCAGACTGCACCTGGATATCCCCCTTCGCATATTTTCAACTTCAAATCAACTGGTTCATCGGCTACCCTACCTTCTGGATCGGAAAGTCACCTCTCTTGTTATTTTGAAGAAGGATACAGATACCCATCTACATCGTGATGGCCAACCAGAAGTGAGTGCAAGTCACTCACAGACAATCTATACGGAAGAATCACTGACTTATCAGCACCAGAATCTGTCGCGATTTTGCTCGAGATGGGAAATGCAAGTTTCGACGCTGTAAGTTTTCACACGATATTTCCCGCGACAACAACCGTAATGCGCCTCGCCTAAACACGAAAAGACCCGAGCCACCAGCTAGCGAGAGCGACTTTCGTGCCTGGAGACGAAACCTGTGGGACCCCAACCGGGACTATCCATTGGGGCATCGGCTTGGAAGCTTTCTGCGGGAAGCACAACGATTGATCGATCAAGATGTCGGGGTGCAGCAAGAGGTGATCCGCGCCCTGGCCGAGGAAGGCGGCTTGAAGCGCATGAAGGAGTTGATCGACGAAAACATCCTGGGAGCCCGGTCCTCTACACAGAAGTCGATCATTCTCGATCAGCAGGTGGTGCCTTTCCTAAACATCGTAACGCATCCTGGTGTGCGGGACTCCCTGGTCCTCGAACAATCTGTTGGAACGATCTATGCTTTCCTCTATGGCTTGGCCGGGAGACGGGCACTGGACCTGCTGGGTTTCCTGGCAGACATTCTATCATGCAACAAGGACCAAGTCAAAGAGAATCAGATCAACCACTTCGAAATGTCTCTTGTGGCATTCTGGCACATACTCAAGCTGAACTCAGAGGCATACGTCCACGAGGGCCTTAAGCAATTGGCCAACCGCTTCCAGTCCATCGTGAACGATCTTGAAGTCTCGCAGGCGCAAGGTGCTCTGTACGAGGTCAAGGTCTACTTGCAAAAAATCCTGCATCGGCTCGATATCGGTGCGGCACTTCCAAGCATAGCTTCCTCTGGACAGCCCACCCCAGAGAGCGACAAGCTTCCCTCGTCATTCGTCATCCACCGCACTCCCCCGGGGGGCCGCCACAACAACGATTCGGCGGACATCTGCGACATTCAGATCCTGCCCACGTCTGAAGAGATCCTGTCCCCTCATACCGAGTATTTGCCCGTGAAGGACCCTCGACAGTGGCATCTCAGCGGTGTCGCTGGGCTCCTGGACCGCAACTTCCGCTTGCTCCGTGAAGACACGGTCGGGCAGTTGAGGGACGTCATCCACAATCAGCTTCGCCCCGAAAACACAGCACAATCTAGACAGGGTAACCAAGTCCGGACGTACGCATATCCGAACGTTAAGGTGGCTTCCTTGTCCTTTGATCGACATGCAGGGCTGCAGTTTGCGATCCGATTCCGTCAGCTTGCGCAAGTGCAGGGACTGCATGTCAAACAGCGCGAGGAATGGTGGAGCCAATCTAGGCGCCTACAAAGTGGCGCCCTTGTATGCCTCATCGATAAGAGTGGAGGAGACGTACTGTTTTGTACGGTAGCTGAGCCACCCAGGTTGCCGCCCGGCACACCTCAGCCCAAGGATTCGCCGTCTCTTTGGAAGGAGAAAGATGTCTCAACTGTCGCTTTGGAATTCATAGACCCTACAAATCAGCATGTGCAGTTTGTTCTTGATCGATATCGTCCCCGTGGCCCAGTCTCTCCCGTCACCCTAGTGGAGTTCCCCGGCATTCTTCTTCCAGCCTTTGCTCCGACATTGCGCGCGCTCCAAAAGATGAAGCAAAGCGAAGACCTGCCTTTTGCGAACCTGCTGGCTCCGGCGTCCTCCGAAAATTGGGACCAGGTGGCGGAAGTGCCACCACCGGCATACGCTCTCAAGCCCGGGTTCAAGTTCGATCTTAGCTGCTTGATGACCGACGAAGATGAACTGCATCTCCGTCCCGGCCAGGCTTTTGACATGGATAAATTTCATGAGAAGTCCATTCTTGATCCGGCTCAAGCTGTGGGCCTCATAAACACCCTCCAGCACCAGGTAGGCCTCATCCAGGGCCCTCCAGGCACAGGGAAGAGTTACACTGGAGTTGCCCTGATCAAGGTGCTGCTAGCCAATGCGGCCAAAGCCAAAGCCAATATTGGACCAATTATCTGCGTCTGTTATACCAATCATGCCCTCGACCAGCTTCTCGAAGACCTGTTGGAAAAGAAGATTACGACACAGATTGTCCGAATTGGATCGCGCTGCAAGTCCGAACGCGTCGAGAAATACACCTTGAGCAAATTAGCCGACAGGCCTCCGCAGACCAAAGTCGAAAAGAGTTCGATGTATCACCTCTATGTTCAACTCGAGGAGTGTGTAAAGGAATTCGATGCTCTACGATTATATTCAGAAGGATCCGAGGCTAACTTAAAGCGGTTTCTGGAGCGCCATAACCCCAGTCATTATCGCCAGCTTTTCACCAACGACGAGAAGGGATGGATAACTGCGACGTCAAAGGGCAATAATGCATTTCGGCAGTGGATAAACAGAGGAATCAAGTCGACGGAGAAGCCCCGATCTATCGGTATCCTCGAGAATATAAAACTCGAGCAAATGAGCATGAAGGAACGGCAAATGATCTATGAGCACTGGCTCACGGAGAATAGACGTCAGAAGCACGACAAAGCTAAGAACCTGGTGCATGAACAAAAGAGGAGCAAGGAAAAACTGAACGATGTTCGACACGAGGTCGATCTGCGATGTCTCCGACAGGCACAGGTTATCGGGGTTACGACTAGTGGCCTCGCTCGAAATCTCAAGATGCTTCGCCGCCTTCAGTCCAAGGTAGTGCTGTGCGAAGAGGCTGGAGAGGTGTTGGAGGCTCATCTCCTGACAGCCCTTCTGCCTTCCGTCGAGCATGCCATACTCATTGGAGACCACCAGCAACTTCGCCCGCAGATTCAAGATTACAATCTTTCTAGAGAGAACTACCGAGGTGGTGAACAGTACTCTTTGGATCAATCATTGTTTGAGCGACTGGTTGATCCCGGCGAGGATGGCCCAGGGGTGCGGATGCCGTTTAGCACGTTGGAAACGCAACGCAGAATGCATCCTTCCATCGCACAGCTGGTCAGAGACACTTTGTACCCTCGCTTAGAAGATTCTCCCTCTGTTTTGGAATACCCGGAGGTATGCGGGATGCGCCAGAGGCTGTTCTGGTTTGATCATCAACACCTCGAAGCCGACAATTCCAGCACCGATGCGGTAAACACCTCACACTGGAACGCGTTCGAGGTGGAGATGACCACCGCACTAGTCGCTCACTTGATCCGACAAGGCTGTTATAGAGCGGGAGAAATTGCTGTACTGACCCCTTACCTGGGACAGCTCCATCGGCTACGGCGTCGGCTCAGCGAGTCGTTTTCCATCGTCCTCGGCGATCGTGACCAGGATGATCTGGAGGCAGCAGGACTAAATGAATCAGACGCAGGGAATACTCCGGTGTCTCGTACAAATGCACTACAGACCGTTCGTGCAGCCACCATTGATAATTTCCAGGGTGAGGAAGCCAAGGTTGTGGTAATTTCGTTGGTCAGAAGCAATGCCCAGAGACGCTGCGGGTTCCTACGCACCTCTAACCGCATCAACGTTCTGCTGTCCCGTGCAAAGCACGGCATGTATATCATAGGTAACGCCGCTACCTCGATGGATGTACCGATGTGGCGCCAAGTGGTGGAGATCTTAAAGGACAAGGACAACTTTGGCGCCCAGCTCAAGCTACAATGCCCACGCCATCCAGAATCCCCTATTGCTGTTTCGGAGCCCGACCACTTCGTGCAATTCTCCCCAGAGGGCGGCTGCAATCAGCGCTGTGCCAACCGATTGCGATGCGGCCATGCCTGTAAGCAGAAATGCCATTCGACGCTGCTCCATGATGCGGTCTACTGCCAGGAACCTTGCCCAAGACCTTTGAAGGGATGCGATCATGCCTGCCCGAAGCACTGTGGCGACAAATGTCCCCAACAATGCCAGGTGATCGTGTTCGACGCCAACCGGAAACTCAAATGTGGACATGCTGCAGTGGAGCTCCCATGTTGGCAGGCGCAAGATCCGACGCAGGTTAAGTGTCCAGTGCCTGTGGTGAAGCAGGTGCGCGGGTGCAAGCACATGGTGACAGTGCCCTGTCATATCAACGTCGAGGATTCCACGTTTAATTGCCCAGCAGTGTGTGGAGCCATCCTGGCCTGCGGACATCCTTGCCGACGCAAATGCTGTCAGTGTACTCGGTATGATGGGGACAACAATGCTCAAGTCAACCATGGCCGATGCGAACAGCCGTGTGGTCGCAATTACTCGGCGTGTGCACATAGCTGTACTCGGATCTGCCACGAGCCGGAGTCCTGTCCTCCGTGTGAGGCCCCTTGCGATGTTCATTGTGGCCATTCCCAGTGCCCCAACAAGTGCTGTGAGCCCTGCGTTCCCTGCGCCGAGACTAAATGCCCATCGTCGTGTCCTCACAGTTCATGTACGCTGCCCTGTGCGGCTCCTTGCGACAATGTGCCTTGCTCCAAGCGCTGCGAGAAACTTCTGCCCTGTGGCCATCAATGTCCCTCTGTTTGTGGCGAGATTTGTCCGCCAGCTCCTTTCTGCCAGATATGTGCTGCTCCAGAGGTCAAGGACCGCGTTGTTGATTTTATCCTCGGCGAGGTATATCGGGAGATAGACCTTAATGAAAACCCCTGCATCTTTCCTCGATGCGGACATTTCTTGACCATGGAGAGTATGGATGGCCAGATGGACATGAAAGGACACTATGAGCTGGATGCCGACGGTAAACCAGTCGCGATAACCGAGTCATCCAGGCCATTTTCCGTCGAGGACGTCAAAAGATGTGCCACCTGCCGGGGATCTTTACGGGATATTTCTCGGTACGGTCGGCTGGTACGTCGGGCCATGTTGGATGAGGCCACAAAGAAATTTATCTTGTACCTCAACAATGAATACGTTCCAATGGCCCAGGAACTGCCAAAGCTGGTTACCGCCCTACCTGAGGCCAAGAATTTAGCTGGGTCGCTGGCAATGTTCCAAATCGGTGAAGCCATCCGGGTTGATGGTTCTGGTAACCAACAAATCAAACGCTTGGGGGATCTCATGAAGAAGAACAAAATGAATCGCTGGGATGGACTCCTCCAATTGAGGAAGCGCATGGTCAAATACTATTCCAGGGTTCAAGTCGAAGAGCAACCCTTCAGTCGCGTTCAGTACCTGGTGGAGCATGCACGGCGGCAGAAAGAATCCCAGGGAACGTTTAAGTTCAATGAAAGTGTGTTGCAAACGAAGGGTGTTTTGCTAGCACGAGCACTTCTCATCCGGTTAGACATTGCACTGCTCGGCGACTTTCTCTCGCTTTACAACGTTGCAACTCCACTGTCAACACGGCGTGAGCTTTTGGTCGATCTGCAGAAAAATATGTATGACTGCCACAGCCTCATCCAGCTAGCCGGTGACCTGCATCGAGTTGCCCATCAAGCTGAGGGCTACATCTTCCTGGCGCAGCTTTGTGCTCTGCAGCGATCACACATAAAAGATGTATCGGATGCTGAGCGTCGGCTTACCGAAGGCTGCGAAGCTCTAGATGCTGCCGAGCAACTTTGTAGGCAGTATCCAGGCCAAACCCAGGGGTTTTCGGAAGAGATTGAGAGCGCCAAGGCGATGTTAAGAGGCTCAACTTTCTATAGCGCCGTTTCCAACGAAGAACGAATGGCAGTGATCACGGCCATGAACCGCGAATTCATGGGCACTGGCCACTGGTACTATTGTCCAAACGGGCATCCTTTCACGATCGGCGAATGTGGAGGCGCGATGCAAGTCTCAACGTGTCCCGAGTGTGGTGCCCCAGTTGGGGGCCAGAGACATCAAACGGTCGACGGAGTTACGCGTGCAAATGACTTGGAAATGGGACTAGCAAGTTTGAGACTTGAATGATGTGAGATTAGACAAGGGGATAGTTGAAGTTGTTGGGAATGAGGTAATTGACTAGCTGTTCTATGTTGCTGATATGTCATCTGTAATGTTGGTGCGCAATAGCCCAGAAAATACCGATAAGAGTAATGAGATATATTGCTTATTATTCTTTACCTAGTTGAGTAGGATTTGGCAAATGATATCTTATAAATCGTGAGTCGTGAAGTTCAATGACTTAGGGTGACTCATGTTGGCTCATGTTGATGGCGGATTACTCAGTTGCGGGAATCTCTTACCAATCGTGATTCCATCACCAACTTCCAGCAAGTATAAAATAAGCAGCAACCCAACTACAAATCACCTACCATCCATTGCATATTTCGAAGTACATCAACATGACCACCAGCCGTCCTCACAACATCCTAATTACCGGAGCCTCCGGCTACCTGGGCGGAACTCTCCTCTCCCGCTGGCAAACAGCCCAATTGCCCTCCCACGGCACCCTGTATGCTCTCGTGCGAACTGAGCAACAAAGCCAAGCTGTGCAGCAATACGGCGCGACACCCTTATACATAAACCTCGATGACGACCAGAACATTATCCAGACCATCGTCAAGCATGAAATCTCCATCATCTACTTCCTCATCGACGCCGCCAGCGCCCGCACTCAAATACCCATGATCCAGGCTCTGGGCCAAGTGCGCGAGCGCACCGGGAAAACCGTCCATTTCTTGCATACTTCTGGTGCTAAGCTATTCAGCAGTCATGCTGGACATCCGACTGATCGTGCATTCTCGGATGCTGATCCAGGACTGTATGAGATGCAGAGGACTGCGAAGCCGTCGCATCCATGGCTTGGGCCGGTGAGTGCCATCTCTTTTTTTATCTTCTCGATTGGCTATATACTTACTGGGACTAGGCTTTGGAAGCGAATAACACCGTAATTGCTACTGCAGAAGCACATGGAGTGCGCAGTTACATCTTCATTCCGTGTGTGGTCTACGGCCCGGGAGAAGGGTTCGGAAACCGCATTTCCATCCAGACGGTCGCGATTGTCAAGGCGGCCCTCAAGGCGAACCGCGTGTATCGTGTGGACTCGGGACGGCCGGTATGCATTTATTTCAGGTCTTGTTTGGGACCTTACTCTAGCTAAAGGCTAATGTGGCATAGGTCTGGCCCGTCGCTCATATCCAGGACACCGTGGGTCTGTATCTGGATCTGCTTCGGAAAATGCTCCTAGAGGAAACACTGGATTCGGGTCGACAAGGGTATTACTTGGCTGCTTCCGGCACAGTGGCTTGGGATGATTTGTATAGTGCTATGGCACAAAGGCTGGCTGAACGAGGAGTGATAGAGGATGCGACGGTGGAAGATGCCAATGATGCTGTCCTAGAGGAGATAGGCGAGGCGCTGAGTCGTCCCAAGGACTTTGTGCCTGTAGAATTGGGCGGAGGGTAAGTTTCCGAAGGATTGATACTGGCGAGATGTACTTGTACTGATGTTGGTAGATGTGTGCTGGATGCGCAGCATGGTCGACAGTTTGGCTGGCGGCCTCGGTATAGCCCCGAGCATGCTCTCACCACGGCAAAAGACGAGGTAGATTGGATCTTGGAGCATCTAGACCGGAGTTAAAAGGTGTTGACACCATGATATGAGCGATTGACCAAGAGTGATTGAGGGGTTGTACATAGTATTGGTTGTGATACTATTATTACATATAAACTAAAGAATTTGAATAAGATGTCTATAATCTAAAACAGCCGAGAAGGATTCGGAAATATATACTAAAGGGTACGCCACAAGGTAGCAAAAGTGTGACTGTGTTAGCCATCATTCTAGGCCTTGGAAAGATCCCCTCTCATGCGATCATAGTTGACCACAGCCTCCAGCAGTGTTTGAGTACCGAGAGCACTACATATAAGAGTCAGCAACAATATTAACCACGACAACGACGCACACTTACCAATGAGCCGGGCTACAATACTCCTCAGGATGATGGCTGACACCCTCCTTGCATGGCACAAAGATCATCGCCGTGGGACAATGCCGACTAGTATAAACACTATCATGACCGGCTCCGCTAGTCAGTTGCATCCACTGGTCCTTTCCGACCAGCTGCGTGGCTGCATCCTGGATAGCGATGATGCAGTGCTCGTCGAATTTGACAGCCGCAGAATCCGTGTCCAACGTCCAGTCCAGCGAGACGCCCTTGCCGTCCTCCTGCGCAATCTCAGCAAACGCCTGCAGACATTCGTCCTGCACCGCGTGCACCACAGCGTCCTGGGGATGGCGGATGTCCAGGGTGAAGGTCACTTCGGAGGCAACCGTGTTGGTGGAGGAACTGCGCGGCAGCTTCATCACTCCCGTGGAGGCGAGTGCGCCATGTCGCTTGGCAATGGCGTTGGAGGCCACGATCATCTTTGATGCAGCAAGAACGGGATCCCGGCGTGCTGCCAGGGGGGTCGTGCCGGTATGGGCATCACGACCACCCACCGTAATGGTGAACCACCGGTATCCCTGCGCTCCACGTACGACACCCACAGACTTGCCCGCCTCCTCGAGTATAGGTCCCTGTTCGATGTGGAGCTCGAAATGAGCTCCCAGAGGGTATCCAGTAGCTGAGTCATGGGAGCAGGCCACCGAACCGAGGAAGCCGTGGCGCTCCAACTCTGAGCGCAGGGTCACGGCCGGGTTGAAGATGTCTGTCAGTCCCCAGGCTTTTTCTAGGGGGATTTCTCCAGCCCAGACACCGGAGGAGCACATGGACTTGGGGAACCGAGCTCCTTCCTCACTGTGTGCCAGCGGTTAGAATGATGGTGTAACATCAATGAGTATGCAGGAGTTAAGACGTACTTGGTCCAGTTAACCAATCCGATGTCAAAGTTGGTTCGGAATCCATTCTCCTTCATGGTGCGCAATACCTCCAGGGCTGCGAGAACACCCAGAATCCCGTCATAGCGACCACCTCGGGGCTGAGTGTCGAGATGGCTGCCCATGGCCGTCATAGGCGCGGGAGAGCCCAGGGACCCTCGCTGTCTGGCAAACATGTTGCCCATCTGGTCGACCGTCACTGTACAGTCCAGCTTCTCAACTTCTTCCCGCAGCCAATGGCGCACTTTGGCATCCTCGTCAGTCAGGCATAGTCGAGCCATACCGGTCTCTGTCGAACCTCTGCCATTCAGTGGTCAGCTTGTATATTCCATCTCAACAGAGACTGGGGGAGTTTCCAACGGGCGCATCACTTACTCGCCGTAGCGATGGGCAGCTCCCCATTCACATGTTTGATGGAGAGTCTCCATGAGGCGATCCGAGTTGATGCGAAGGCCTGAACCCGACGCGGTGGACAGCCAACGGCGCCAGGCCGGGCGCGACAACTGGCGGGTAAGTGTACGGCCAAACATCTTCGGAGCGTAGAGGCGCAGCTGTAGTAGTTACTGGACTCTACCAGTTTGCTGGTACAGGTCGAGTCTTATACCCAGTACGAAATACATTGCTTTCGAAACGAGGGAGGAATTCCGTTTCCGGGTTTGCCTCTGCGCCTTCTGGGGACAAGTAAAATGAGGGTTTGTCGCGAGAGGGCGCATCCCTTCTCGGCAACCGGGAATGAAGGCCTTTTCCCCGCCCGTTATATATGGAAGCGCACCATCCGGACAGTCGGATAGATGATAATTCAGAAAGAAATCCCATCATAATGTCCACTTTCCGCAGGCCGATCTACGTGAATCCCAGCTCGTCCACGACCACCTCGGCGGCCTCCCCGGGGGCGTTGGCCTTCCACCAACAATTCCCCGGCTATGCGCCGAGCCCGCTGGTGCCGCTGCCCGCTGTGGCTGAGGAACTAGGAGTGCGTGCTGTCTACCTCAAGCAGGAGAGCAACCGCTTCGGTTTGCCCTCTTTTAAAGTCCTGGGGGCCTCCTGGGCCATCTACCAGGCCATCCGCTCGTTTGTACAGTTACCAGAGGGTACACCACTTGACACCTTGATCGAGCGGGTGCGCGCACAGTCCGCGCCGATTACCCTGCTCGCGGCCACCGAGGGCAACCATGGCCGTGCTGTGGCTCGCGTCGCCCGGCAGATGTCGCTCCAATGTCACATCTACGTCCCGTGCACGATGCACGCCTACACTCGGGAAAAGATCCGCTCCGAGGGAGCCGAAGTCAAAGTGGTGGACGGGGACTATGACCACGCCGTCGAGACCGCTGCCAAGGCCGCCAACCAAATGTCCCAGGGCATCCTGGTGCAGGATACGGCACTAGAAGGCTACGAAGAGATCCCGGCCTGGGTGGTGGAGGGCTATGCCACCTTGCTCCAGGAAGCCGACGCCCAGCTGCACGCCCTGGGCCTGCAGAACAGCCTCGTCGTGGCCCCGGTGGGCGTGGGCTCCTTCGCGGAAGCTGTCGCCACATACTATAAGTCGCGCGATACGCCCGCCACCGTCGTGGCCGTGGAGCCGGATACAGCGCCTAGCCTGACGCACAGCTTGCAACAAGGCCATCCAAGCTCCGTCATCACTAGTCCCAGCATCATGGCCGGCATGAACTGCGGCACGGTATCGTCCGCCGCCTGGCCCCTGCTGCGGCAGCTAGTCGACGTTAGTCTCACCATTTCGGACTGGGAGAGCCACTGTGCCGTGCAAGACCTGGCTGCCCAATCCATCGACTCCGGTCCTTGTGGTGCTGCTTCCCTGGCTGCCATCCGCCGGCTGAAGGCGGAGGCTTCACCGACCTCGACTTTCTTTTCCCCAGATTCCGTCATCCTGCTCCTCAGCACGGAGGGCTCTCGTCCCTACGAGGTCCCAATGGATGTCTCCGTGGATGATCCGGTGGCACTGACACAGGTGCTCACGCGGATCAACTCCTCCAATCCCACGTTGTCCAAGACACAGGGCGCTGGAGAATCGGCCATCACCAACTACCTCTGTGCCTGGTTCGCCCATCGTGCCATCGAGCACCATCGCATCGAGACGGCGCCCGGACGACCTTCGGTGGTGGGCATCATCCGCGGCTCCGGCGGAGGAGCGT